ATTTTTAACAATAAACGACATCAAATTATATCGATACTATCATAATTTTGTATTATATGCAAATAATCCCATTTGAATTCATTGTATAAACGATGATTAATATTTGATTTTATTTTACCTAAACGTGTTAACCCAAAAAATTTGTCAAATATATTTCTCACGTTCTATTCAATATTTTTGTTTAATCTTAAAGAAATAAAGCTACCACACGGTGAATCTATTCTCGGTTCATAGAATCAACAATAAATTATTGAATTTTATTTGTGTTCTTTAGAATAATTTTGAACAAAATTAATAAAATATTTTTAATTCACACTGTGTGTAATCTATTATAATATATTAAATCATTTTATAAGTAAAATAAAAAGCATCACTTTAGATGATAAATAATGAATAAACGGTGACTTAGAGACAACCAGCAACATCCCGAGTGATTCCTGGTAGTACTTCTATACGGATAGGAGAGGAACGGCGTCTTGACTCCATTAACTTCACACTTAGCAGCACCTTAGAAACCCTCCACACTGCCGTCGGGGAAGATCTGATTAGGGAATCGAGTCTCTACTAAACGCGTTAGTCTCGACAGTAGGGGGGGGGGGGGGGACTCAGCTTGAAACGAAAGATGAGGTAGAGGTGATGGTAGAGAGACATGATGGGTGGTAGGATGGGATGAGGTGAAGGGGGTGGGATAGAAGGAGGGGGTGAGGGAGACCTTCACCTACCACCTCCATCAGGTGGTGAAACCTCCCAGAGAATAGGAAAGCAGAATTGTCTGGCTGCCTACCTGCTTGCTAGCCTGCTTGCTTGTCTTTCTAAAGTTTGATGCAAATTGAGTAGGAACGCGAAGCAAGTACCGTGAGTACAACGTCTTCTCCTTCTTCTTCTTCGAACCCTTGCCCTATCTCCTTCTCTCTTTCCCTAGAGCTACCTTAATCTCAAGTAGGAAATTTATTCTCTAGGACCACCATCGAATGAACAACCCAACACCATTGCTACTCGCTCACGAAACCAAGTAGAATCTTGACTAGGGGCAAAGTGTTACCGTTTGGGGTTTCTCGCCCACAATCTCCTTTCACTTCCTCCACACCCCTCTTCTTCTTCTTCTTCTTCTTCTTCTTTCTCTTCGTACCCATTCCTATTCAACCCCCATCCCCCTTTTCTTCGAGTCTTTCGAAGCTCTCAAGGTCTGTTTGCTTCTCGAGAAACTCCGAGGCTTCCTTCTCGACTTAACGAAAGACTATATAACATTGCGGAGAAACGTTTAACGCTTCCTCGGAATAATCTCAAGATTATTCCTGCACACTTGGTCTTCTGTTACATCTGTTGCTGCTGCTGTTGCTGCGTGTGAAATCTAGCATATACCTTTCTATTTGTGCTGTAGAAAATCAGCACACTCCTGAGAAAATTGACCAAAGGGTTTGAAAACAATTGTCTGATGATCGAATAATTCGGATTCAATGTGATCCTTGTTCTGACGACCTCATTTTTCTGAACTTTCTTTTTAAGAATCAAAAATAATCGATATTATTCGATATTATTATACCAAATCTTGCTTCCTAATGTCCAAAGTATTTAGCAACGATGATAATGTAAAAAGAGAGAGAGAAGAAAAAAAAAATAAAAATAAAGAATGCTCTCGTTTATCAGCACAGACAGTGTTGGTATAGTACTCGCATATCTAGGCGCGAAATCATAACACCGTTATATACGTAATATAAAAAAAGAACGTTAGAAAGAGATGGCAAAACCCTGAGGGTTCTCCACCAGCAACCATCAGACTACCGTACCGTACAACATCAGCACTACGTTTCCCTATCTTCTTTCTTTTCTCGCAGTATCACAAAAAAAAGAAAGAGAGAGAGAGAGAGGAGCTTATACTTTCCTTTCTCTCTCTAATGTTCCCTTTTTATGGTGTACGAGTGGAGAGAGCGACCACCACCCCCTGGAGGATCGATTTTAGTTCGCGACGCGGTACTTATCGTACCGCGTTACGGTGGAGCATTGCTTTTTATGGCGGTCCATGTTCGACGTTCCAATCGTTCCGATCTCTTTTTCTCTTCCAACAAAACCCCCGTCACCCTTCTACCCCAACCACTTCGAATCGGGAATGGAATTAGAAGAAAGAGAAAGAGAAAGAGCACACGCGGAGGAAAACAAAAATCTAATCGTATGATAAATGTTATATATATATATATATATATATATATATATATATATCGTCGTTTGCTTTGAACGAAACAACACCTGGGAAAAAGAAGTATTAGAAAAAAGAAAAGAAAAGAAAAAAAAAAGAAAATTGTTGGACGTTTTAAATCTGCAACGACGATGTTTTCGAATAAAACGGTTGAAATCTCGAGTCGTTCAGAGAGATCATATATGCATGTACATGTGTCTCTCTCTCTTTCTCTCTCTATGTATCTCTCTCTCTCTCGTGTGTGTGTGTGTGTGCGTGTTAGTATACCACCGATGCAAGCGAGCTACCGGCTAGGTGGTGAAAAAAAATCACGTCTGCATTTACATAAGCGCTGGTATAAACCACTCGGCAGAAATCCTGACATAAAACCCAAACAGGATCTCAAAAGCGGAACCGGCACATCCCTTGAATACGGAATATGTATGTTCCTGTGTATTTTTACCTTGGTACGCGCACACATGTAACTCTTGTATCAACTAACCAACTTTAACCAACAAACATTTGATTACATTTCAAATTTGAACAAAATATTACATACATTCTTGTATGATTTAGAAATAAATAGAAGGTTGTAAGTTAGATGAATATGAAGGATCGATTGAAACAGGATTACCTGGATTGTTCAAATGAATGATAATGTTTAAGTTAAAAATACATTTGTTAAGCTTGATTTTAACGTATGATGTAAGATGTTATAACTGAGACTGTTAGAAAGACCGATGTTCGAGCTACTTGATATGAATTTTAACCGAATATGGATCCTGACGAAACGATTTTCGTGTCCCTCGTGGATCTTCGATCCCTTTCGGCATACTCCTTCCTTCCTTCCCTTTTTATCTTTAGACTTCTTTTCTTTTTCTTTCAGTGGCTGTCGAAAAGCAACCACAACCACTCCTCCTCCACCCCTCCTTACGAGATCGTCGTTCCGTGCCTCTTTAGCATTTTTCGCATAACGTCCCTCTTGCGGACACTTGCAAAAAGATAAAGCGAGATAAAGATAGACAATGCCTCGAAGAAAAACGTGTAAGAAAGATGAATTCAGTGTGTAACGTAGGTAGAGAAAAATTGACTTTTAAACCGGCAATAAAAAGGAAAAATGCGAAATCTTTGATTTTAAAACGGGCTTTTTCCCGTGGAATAGTATTAGTATAGGTATTAGTAGTAATAGTAGTAGTAGTAGTAGTAGTAGTAGTAGAAGTAAAACAGAACACAGGAGGCGTCGACGGTGGTGCGACAGTTGGTAGATGCGTATAACCCTCGTGGCAAAGCTTATTTCTCTGATATCGCAAACCGAGCACGTTTCTACCTCTGCGCCATCTCCAAATCCGCGTGTACAGGTTCGTTCTCTTTCTCCACTGCTACTCGTATCCTATACTGCGAGATGTATTGTATATATATATATATACACCACCATACCAGATTACTTGAAAATCCTCCTGGTGTCCCTTCTACTTCGAATTTTAACAAAATATGCGAACTTTCGTGGGTTCTCCGTCATCGTAAAAAATAAAAACTATGTTATTTTTTATTTGTAACTCTCTTGGACCATAAAACGTGGCTGGCCTAATATTCATCTGGTTTAACGTGACATTCATTTCTATTATCTTACAATAATTATATTATTTATATCTTATCAGTTGTGTCATTTTTGGTACACGCTGAAAAACTCAATTCTACCCCAAATGATATTCTTCTCAATTATTCGAAAATCATCTTACTTCATCTATTGCTAACTTTCGTGGGTTGTTCCATCATCGTAAAGAAAATAATCAATACACTTTAACATTAAATTACAGAAAAAAAATAATGATTTCGGTCGTACGAAAAAATAAAAAGAAAAAAAAAAACGAAAAAATAATTCTCACAGTTAACGATAAATTCTTGTGTAATATTATCTCGTTTATAAATGAAAGAAAAAGGGAATGCAAGGTGAGTTAGTTCGGGTTAAGATTGTATAAGGTTTCTTCACGTTAAACTGGCTCTTCTCGGCATCGTAGGAATCCGCTATAGCAAACTCTCGTAGTGTAGTTTTGCTTCGCGAATCGACTGGAAATTTACATCTAAAGGAGCTCGAAGAGTTGCGGAAACGCGAAATGGAACGAGAGAGTGCAGTTGGAAACGGGAGGAGGACGAGGGGGAGGAAGAGGAGGTGGAGGAGGTGGAGGTCTGTGCTGCCACTTCGCTTCTTGATTTTATTTTCTCGCAATTTCCTAGCCGGAGCAGAACGGAAAGCGGTCATAAACGGAATTAGCACGCTTTACTGCTCCGCCAACCTTGTACAGTCTCTTTTCTCACTCCCTCCCCCCTCTCCACCCATTCTCACCCTCTCTCTCTCTTTTTCTTTTTCTTGATAGGCGAAATTCCTTACCGTAGTTTCCGTTTCGCAAAACTTAGCGACTGTCGTTTCGATAAGACTCTACTACTTCCAGACAATAACACGTTCTATTATTTATGTATTTTTTTGTTTATACATTATGTTGAAAAATTGATCATACAAATCATTTATCGAATTAATGCATTCGCTGACGTGATGCATTCAAATTTGAAAGCCAATTAATTTTGAATTATATTGAAGTTTTTGTAATTATTATACCTGTAAAGAGGTAATGACTTACTGATTCTTTAATATATATGATCATCTGACTACCCTTATTAAATGTGTTTAATCAAATTATCAATATCACAATTAATTTGAAAATGAAATTGACCATTACTTATTGTTTTCCTCCCTAAAACTTTTACCATTCGCGAACGTGTTTATATAAAGAATGTTTATAAATCTATTTGTACTATTTTCTAATTGCAGATTTTGCGTGGGCGATCAATTTTATCTCTACGAGAATAAAATTCTTTGCGAGTATCATTATAAGGAAAGAGTTTATTTCGCCAACATGCCACATCCGCCACCGAACGATACCCTAGCACATATTAAAAGACAAGTCACGCACCTTCAACCTCAAGTAAGTATTATTACGAAATTCTTTAATGCACCTGACAACATAATTATTAAATATAATGATAAATAAGAGATGAGACCAAAAGTAATTCAGTTAAAACAATTATCAAATTAAAAACCTCCTGTTCATGTATGATTCTTTTTTCACGGGATATCCTAGAGAAAGAAATATTAACGGACACAACGGAATAAAAGATTTTGAAAATAATTAAAAGATAATAGCGAGAACACAAAAAATTAATAAAATATAAAATATAAATAATGACGTAACGATTCCCAAAAAATAAGAAACTTACGAATGAAACCATCCTGAAAAAAAAAGAATGTAAACGAGCGTGGATAATAAAAAAAATAAAAAGGTGATCAAGATAAATAAGTGATTAACACCATGAGTATAAATAATGACGTGTGAACGATGACGTAACGATGGTAAAAGGAATAGAAAGATAGGAGTTAGGGTATCTAAAGAGGAAGCTGCAGGAAGGAATAGGCAAGAAGGAAACTCCTGAAGACGTAATCCCTTAAGGTGGGTTAAAGTGGCAGGTCGCTCATCCTGACCCTCTCGACAACAAAGGACTCCCTCGAGGCTTCGGCTATGCTTTATACCCTGACTAGCAACGTCTTCTAACTTAGGATATCGCGTGTCCTTATTAATTAAGCTCGACCGTTAAGCAAGCCACGCCGCATGCCTTAACGATCGGTGCCTCTTTTAGAAGAGTATACGCTAGATGGAACGTGCGAAAGAATTTTCTCTTACTAAAAGGATCCTCGAGAGGAATTAGATTGGAATTAACGAACACAGAAGATATTCTCTATGTGCTTTCAATGTATACATGTATAAATTCTTATCTATACATGGAAGAACGTTTATTTCGAAAATGTTGCATATCCATTTACACAACCCCATTAAATATATTATATTGTATAATATGATTTATTATTTTATACACGCGTATTGAATTGACAAAAATAAATAACTTTAATTGTTTTTTACGTGACGTGTTCATTAGTTGTCGTTTGTTGAAAAATAGAAAAAAAACAAAAGAAAACTATGAGCAAGTTTTTTAAAGATAAAAAACATGGAAGATAGTTGGGAAGAACGAGGACTTCCGGAATTATGGACTCATCGACGTTAAGCCTTTTAGGATTACGTCTTCTTGATTATCCTAAAGCAACAACCTCGCTTCAAAACAATATCTTAAGCCTCGGGCGCACAGAGTAGGAAGGACCTCGCCGTGTCTGACCCAACGAGGATCAGATCTACTTAATCCTAGCTCTCGTCTTGCAAGGATCTTCGCCTTATCCTTTGACGTCACCTTTCTAACACAGAATTTATAATTTATTACACGATAGTTTTAAACCCCCTTTCAACAATTACCAAACAGTTAAATGAAATAATAAGAAAACAAAAATGCACAAAAAATACTCTGAAATTAATTTAAAAAATATCTAAATATATAAAATAATAATAATTAATAAAATGTAGATTATAAGAATATTTCGTATTCCTCGTGCTATCTTAAAAAAAAATAATAAAAACGGTTCTTACTTTTCGCATTTCGTTGTGAAGCTTATTTTGATTATATTATAATATTAGAAAAAAAATAATTATCAAATGAATAATACAAAAAAAGAAATCGAAGAAAATAATATTTTTTTGTATTTCTTATTATCCGCAAGGGAGGTCGAAGGTCGTGAATAGGTAACACACACTGGAATCATACGCATGCACGAAGTAACGAGGTCTCTGTAAGCCGATGATATCAGCAGTCTCGGTAACGTGTACTACTTATAATATGCAAATTTCTTCCCTTTCCCTTTTCCCTTTCCTCACTCTCTCTCATTCTCTCTCTCTCATTCTCTCTCTCTCTCTCTCATTCTCTCTCTCTCTCTCTTTCTCGTCCTGTCGACGAGCTGCATGTAACAACGGGGTTGCTAACCCTTTGCGACTCTATTTCTATGCCACGTAAGTGTTCTCAAGTAAACTAAACGCGCTTAAGTAAGTAAGTAAGTAAGTAAGTAAGTAAGTAAGTATATAAGTACGTATATATGTATGTATGTGTCAGTAATTTTCCTGTATATTTTGTATGTGAGTGTGTGTACGTCACGGGTGCAGTTTTAATTAACATGAAATGTAACGATCGAGTTGAAACTTTGTGACATCGATATTTTTCATTATTACATCTGATATTCTCAACACTTTAACAACATAACTAACGTTGATTCTTACGTAATCTGAAAAACATTAAACTGAATTTTAACTAATGTTCATCATATGTCTATCAAATGTTCTTGTCCCGAGTATCATCAAAATAAAATTTCACATAGTCATTCTAAAGATTTATATATTAAGTGTCGAAGTGGAATTTGAAATATATAATATAATTATTATGATACAGATATATGTACATATAATTTTTCAATTTTTTCATACCTTAAATGAAATATTAAAAAAATGAATCTACCAATTGTCAACTAAGAATCCGAACTAAAGTACAATACAACATAATTCAATATATATCAGAAAAAGTAAATATAATAATAAGTAATAAAAAGAAATTGTTAAAAAAAAAAAATGTCTTAACATTTTTATAAATGACCTTGTAAGAAGAAAATAAGTGGTAAAGAGGAAGGCTAATGTCGATAGGTTCAGCGTAGAGAATAGCATGCTAATGTCGTTTTGGCGCATCTATTAGACTAAGCCTCTAGACGGATCCCTCTTGACATCTCGTTCCTTGAGCGTGAATACCTTCGATATCATCGCTGAGGGTGAGTTCAATTCGAGACAACCCTCGATGTTATATACCAACCACCACCAACACCACCATCACCACCACCATAGACATAAGCAATCGTTTGAGATCGATCGTCCATCTGACATTTCGTGGTGGTGAGTTCGATGACTCGTGAACGGGGAACGTTAACTTTATCAAATATTCGACTATCGCCATAAGAAACGAATGGATCTTAATAATAAAAAGAGTCCAGTTACAAAAAAAAAAAAGAAAAAAGATAAAAAGAGAAAAAAGAAGAGAGAGAGAGAGAGAGAAAGGGAGAGGGATGAAAGGGAAGAGAAAGCGTTAAGGTCCTTAAAAACCGCGAAGAGGGTTCTCAGCATCGTTGAGACAGCTGCCACCCTGTTTGTACCCTCCTTAAGCTGTACCAATGCAGGGGTATGAGGTGAAAGTGGGGGAGGAAAGAGACTACTACACCGTTCGTTGAAAAAGGGGGAAGGGTAGTTTTTCTGATTGCCTGAGAACAGCCAGCTGTCCCGATCTTTCTTAACCACCGACACCCACCACCAATACTAACAACCTTGCTAAAGGATCCGTTTCCTTTCCTTTCCTTTCCATTTCTTTTCTTTTCTTTTCTTTTCTTTTTTTTTTTCTCTAGCTTCGTTCGTTCTAAATAATGCCGAGGCAAAAGAAAAAAAAAGAAACCGCACAGTTTACGAATAACTCTCTTTCTACTACGATCCTACTTCTTCTTTCTTTCTTTCTTTCCTTCTAAAAGAGGGATTGAAGAAGAAAAAGAAAAATGAAAAGAAGGGGGAAGACGAAGAAAAGAACAGTTTAGTCATCACCCTCGCGATAAATCGAATTAGGATCGTTCTTTTCGTAAATCCCTTTTATTTTTTGACCCCTTTATAACGTTCGATCTTTGCAATCAATAAAGTAACAACAGAGAAACGTTTAATGGTGTTTTCAACAACAACAACAACAACAGCAAAAAAAAAAGAAAAAAGACCGACGAAAATATTCTCATGTAATATTTGTTTTTATGGGGAATACGCGGAAATAAATTATCGGGGAATGGAAGGACGGGTGAGACGAAGGAAATCATTGAAATCTCTGTGAAAAAAGTTCGATCGTAGGAAATAAAAAAGAAAAAAGAAGAAAAAAGAAGAAAAAATAAGAAGAAGAAGAGATGAAGGCGTAACGCGCTTAAAATTCTCGGAGAACTTTTATTTCGGTCTAATTTTCCCCTTGGGATCCGGCGCAATGCGGAACGACGAGACTCCTCCTGTTGAAGAAAGAGGAAAGGGTAGGGACAAGAAATAGAAAGAGAAAGAGAAAAGGGAATGAGACGAATAAGAAGAAGAAGAAGAAGATAGAGAGAAGGGGAGAAATTTCGAAACGATTATCTGAGTTTTAAAACAAACTCTCGAGTGTCTGTAAAGTCCTTCGCGAATCAGAAACGGGGGAACGGGGAAACGGGGGAACGAAGGGAGAGAATAAGAAGGTTGCTTTAAAACGAGAGAAAGAGAGAGAAAAAGAGAGAGAGAGAGAGAGAGAGAGAGAGATAGAAGGAAAAGGGGTGGAATCACCAAGAGACCAACTGGTAAAGTAGAGGTGGTTACTGGTGGTAGTGGAAATGATGGTGGGAGGTTTTGAGAGGTGAGATAATATGCTAATGCCAAGACGTTGGCTACATGGGAATTTAAGAGGATCAATGTGCAGCATGGAAATCGTACAGGGAATAAGATATTACGATAACTATACGAGACTTCTAAACGATTAGATCCTAAGTTTTACTTTAATTTTATTAACGGGATCTCTTGGTTACTCCAATGCACGGAAATATAACCTTTGTTTTTTTATTTTTTGAGAATTTTTTTTGTTATGAGAATATTGGTAAATATGCAAAAGGGGAAATTAATTTTAAAGGATTTTATTCTATAGATAATTTTTAAGAATTTTCGCAAAATTATGTTTATTGCAAATAAATGTTTCCCAAAAAACAAAATTGTTCCCAAAAAAGAAAAAGTTGACACCCTCCCTACCTTTGCCAACTTACCATATTCCCATAGAAAATTCTCAAAAATAGACTATTTTTCCCAAGCGCTAAAGTGGTCTTACCCCTTAAAGTTAAAAAGTGCATTCAACTGAAACGTAAATTAACGTTTTGCGGACGAACGACAAACATTTATGCTCAAAGTAAACCATCAGCGTATCCAATTAACTAATATATGCGTTCTATAATTTCAAATTTAATTAATATCCAATGCAAAGTAATAATTAATAATTAATATACCCTATGTGAACGGAAAATGTTTGTTATTTCAAATAAAATTATAGTAGTAACACCATTATTTATCTAATAATTCAATGGTTTATCGATAAAATTCGTAATGTGCGACAAAAGTAACTTATTTGCATCAGAAAGAAAAATGAAAATTAATATCCTTATCATTAATTATTGTTTTATTATGTTTATATAGAATAATTATAATAATTAATTGTAAATAATAAATATAAAATTTCGTTAACGTAATAATATTACCGAGTCGTAATATTAAACATTGTTTGATAAAATTTGATGAAAAAATTGTACTATATAAAAAAGATTATATTTTTTATTTACAATTGACAGTAATTATACGTTCCGATGATAATGAACAAGGAAATAAACTAATGATGCAAATTGGTTAAATTAAATAAAATCAAATTCTTCAATTTGTTGTAATTCTTTTTAATTAAAAAAAGAATAGTAATATTATTACGTTGAGATATTACTTACTTTTGATACTTCTAACGTGTTCATTGTTATTCCTTTAACGAGCTCATTACTAGTTATCTCGTGTATATAGCTAAATTTCATGTGAACAGCACGTAGAAGATGAACTATCTCTCTCTCTCTCTCTCTCTTTCGTTCTCTCTTTTATGGGAAAGGGCAGCTTGCGAGCTTACGAGAGATTATGAGTTTAGTTGCGAATGAATTCTCTTGAAACAACGTTATAAACAGTTGTGTAACCAGATAATAAGCTACTTTAACATTCTAAAAGGGATTCCTGGATCTAATCAAATAATTTTAATTGAAATCTAGACTTTCAAGAATAAAAGAAAAAGAAAAACAAAATATTCCATAACAAAAAATAAAACAATTATTAAACACAAAAATCATTAAATGTATTGTAGTAATATGAATTTCGATATTGCTTCGATATTCAAATTGATTCTATCAAAATCGGCATTTATTTTATTCTTCGTCGAATAATTTGTCGAGTAAAAAAATCTATTCACTCAAATTATTTATAATTTTGTTTTTTTTTCTCAATAACTGTTAAACGAGTGCCAATAAAATTGTGCAATATATTAATAAAGAAAAACGTACGAACTCTTTTGATTCACCCTAATATATCTATCTGCCATTTGTTCATCTCATATTGAAAGAAAACAATAAACAACCAAAATAAAAAAAGGGGGAAGAGGTTGAAATGAAAGGAAATTGATAATGATAGGTTCAGTTTAATTTCGATCTAGGAAAGGACGGTGGTGTTAATTTTTGCACGAAGCGAGAAGTATAATATAAGAAGCAGTAACAAAACGAGAAAGGAATGGCCAAACGCAGCCAAAGAACAACACACACCTGGACTGTTCCCAGCTACGGGAGATCAACGAACAAATGACACGCGATTCTCAGTAAACCTTCCTTCTTCTTCTTCTTCTTCTTCTTCCTCCCCTACCTTTTTCCCTTTTCATAAAAGGAGAAAAGAAGAGAGGGAGAGAATTTTGCCCTTCTCGAACGGCAACTAAGCAACCCTCCTACCACCCTCCCACCCTGATGGGCCGCATTTACCGTCGTCGTTTGTAAACTGCTTTCGTTTTTGCGATTAATGTCTTATTCGCGGGTTAGAATTCTCTTCTTTTGGAAAAGGAAGAGATCAACGGTACGACGAATAAAAGGAATTAGAGTACACGGAACCAGAACAAGAAATATAGAAGAAGAAGAATAAGAAGAAGAAGAAGAGGGATGGAAAGATATAAGAAAAAGATTTGAAGGAGGAGACTTCGTGCGTGTAACCTGTCATTAACGACTTCTATATACTGAAAAGAAAGAAAGAGAAAGAAGATTTTTCTCTTTTCTAAGAAGGGGAGACGACAAATGAGCCTTTCGATTTACTACACATCTTATCTTAACCTTATTCCCGTTTGATTTCAAACAAAAGGTACTCTCACGTTAATTAAACGAAATATATATTTTTGTCAGATTTAATTATTGTATTCTTCAATTTAATTACCTTTTGTCTTTTTTATTTTCTTGTTATCCAACATATACGTGAATTATTCAAATTAAATATTATATATGTATATATGTTGATGTAAGAATTATAATATAATATTCTGTAATAAAATTGATATTAAATTTTGTAACTATATATACATTACAGACACAAAATATCAATTATTAAAAATTAACAATAAAAGTGTGGATATGAATACGTTTATGATTTACCAGGGAAACATACGAAATATAAATGAATGGATGAATGAATGTATGAACCAAAATGGTCCAAGAAAGTTTCCAAATTGTTCAGAATAGTGAAACGCGTGGCATTTGATTACAATGTCGGCAGTAAATCCACGGCCATGGCAATTCCTCCTCTGGCAATTGTAGATAAAACTTGAATAAGTCATAGACTTAATTTAACCCATGCTAACTAAAGAGAGAAAGAGATAAAAAATGAGAAAAAGAGAGAGAGAGAGAGAGAGAGAAGGAAGAGGACGATGGTCTCCGTCGCCTTCCACGAAGATTTCTTAATTACGTACCGGAACTCGTTTATGTGGAAAGAGAAAGAGAGATAGTTCTTAAATAACCGAGAAAGAAGCAAAGCTTTTGGAAAGGGTTCTCGCTACGGTTAAGATTTAGGGATTCCTTCTGGGAGGAAAGTCACCCCTTGCTAGCGGCAATGGAACGATAAAGCATTTCTTTCGCGACGCTTTGTCATTTTTATCGTAATTATTTACGAGTTAATTACTTCAACTCTTACTTCCACGTTTCTACTACCTCAACCTTTTCTTCATGAATTCAAGGACCGGAAAAATTCTTTCTAAAATATACTCCTAATACCTATTTGATAACACTTATCCATTTTCATTTTATTATCTCTTGTTCATTTATTTTCAATGACCATCATTTATATTTAATAATATAACACGATAAGAAAATTGTTACGAAACTTTGTACAATACTGAATAATATGATTTTTACTTGACATATATTTCTAAACTAAATTACCTTTTTTCAAATAATATTTCACACAACATGGCATTATTTACAAGCGTAACATCTAACGTGTTAGAATATAAAGTATTTCATGAATCAGATATAAAGAAGAAAAAAATAAATGAACGATTGAAATAAAATAAAAATAATAAGCGAGTTTATCTCTGTTTTATTCTTTTACTACTACTCGTCTTTATCTACACTTCTTGTTCGAAGTCGTAGTTAAATTGGGTACGATCGACTCGCAAAATGTTCGTAAAGTAAGAAGACGTAGCAGCAAGCAACCGTGGGAAGATCCGTTGTTTCGTCAAGAGGGAGAACACAGTCGCACGGTCTGCCGAATTTTAAGCCTGTATAATTTAACACCTTTAACGTAGAGGAGTTAAGAGAAAAGGGACCCGTCGAGTCTTCCAAAATGTTCTACGGCTAAAAAGAGAACGAGAGAGATAGACACTGAACGATGAGAATACAAAAAGAGAGAGAGAGAGAGAGAGAAGTTTGAAAGAAAGAAAGAGTGACGAGGATAACTGAACAAGAAAGAGAGAGAGAATAGGAAGATGAATGGATAGAGAAAGAGAAGGAAGAAGATAGGAAGTTGAAAGTTTTCAACAACACTTACACCTCTATCCATAGCTACACACACACACACACATCTTCCTCTTTTGATTTAATCTATCCTTCTCTTTCTACATTAATATGATTTTCAAAATAGAGACAGAAGTAAGTAGTAGGTAAAAGAACGAAAGGTAGATAGGAATGGAATCGAATGGAACAAGAGGGTTCTATAGAGAAAGAGAAACTATCGAATATAGTTGTACTGAAAATGTAAAATAGATATTAAATAATATATAAATAATATATATATCTAATATTATATTTCTAAGTATCACACACACACACACACACAAAAGAATTAAAAATATTATATCAAAGTATCTAAATAATATAAAAATAATATATATGATAAATCGCGTTCACAGGTTCAATAGGTAAAAAAAATAATACATATCAACTGTTTTTCTTTTACTTTTCCTTTTTTATCCTTTTTCTTTTTCCTTTACGTAAGACGAAACGATAGGCAATAATCGTACGATCTTTTTTTCCTTTTTTTTTTTATCTTTCAGACGGTATCTGCCGGAGGTCCTCCGAGACAGGCGAATGGGGAAACAGCCCATAACCACAATGGATATCCAGCACCGGCTACATCCAGCGCTCACAACGTCCTCAACCCCATGAATAATTTAAATGGTATCAATGCGCAAGCACCGTACGATGCCAAATGACAAACGAAATAAGCGCCGATATACACGCGTCTACCTACGCCTACTATTATTACTACTACTACCACTACTACTATTTCTTATACTACTACTACTAATACTACTACTATTAGTACTGCTGCATACAATTTAACACCTACATTTCTTAACATACGGAAATAATAAAACATACAAAATGACACGTACACGCACAAAAACGCATATACGTATACAATGAGTCACAGAAATATTCGTACACGTTTTAATTATAAATTTTGAAAATAATTATTATTAATATTTTCTGTAGATGTATGCAAAGTATCTTAATCTTTTTTACAACAAAGAAAAAAAAAAAAGAATTATTAAACTTTCATATTGATATACATTTTATTATAAAAAAAATATTATATCACAAGAGTATTTATGCATCCACGTAATATAGTAATAAAAATACAATGATTATTTTTGTAAATAGAGAGTACATAATCTATCTCAGCTTTGTATTATTCATTTTAAACGATCAGACACATATTCTTGAAACTAATTTTCTTATCGATTATGCCGATTATTATGGACGTAATACTCCTGTAACTCACTGTATATATTTCTAAACATGTACAACACGATCAAATTTTGAGGAGAACAAGAATAAGAGTATGAGCGTAGTTTTTCGTCGTTATTATCGGTCAATTTCGTTTACGCGTTTTATTCGAATCACACGTCTTCGATTCGATAATAGAAAATACAGATGATGATGATGATGATGATGATGATGATGATGATGATGATGATGATAATAATGATAAAAAAATCCTGTTGTGATTTTTGCGAGAGAAAAATAAGAAGAAACTCGTCCAAAGTCAATTCTGCGAGATTTGTTACGATCCATCGATCATTTATCAATAATTTTGCGTTGAGACGAAAAATGAACAAACGGGATCGCGAATTATGCCGATTTCAAAATGCGAACTGATAAGATCGATCAATAAAAAAGAATAAAAATAAATAAATAAAGGAACGAGGAGATATTTCGTTTTGTAGATAGATAGTTATGAGTATTATCTTTAGGAAAAAAAAAAATAAAATAAAAATAAAAGAATAAGAAAGATAATAAATGATAATAATGGTGCTTTTTTCGAAGTGTATCGATCTTTCGACTTCTTCGATTACGAATTTTCTCATAATATAACCGGTGAAAGGATAATGTTAAACGATGTGTATAAAATAAAACGAGAAAGAAAGAAAATAGGAAAAAAAGAGGTGGAGAGGTATCCCTTTGTTGTTGAATTTTAGACGAACGAATTATTGTAACACTGATGTATGTAATATTCACCGAATAAAATCATTTCATTGTTTATTAATCATTCAATTAAATTTAAAGAAAATATCCTTCAATCATTTATTTCAGGAATGACCGAGATTTTACAACGTACACAATATATAGGTAAATATTCAAATATTATATATAATATATTACATTAAATCAGAGTAATGTGTTCTAACTTTTCAAAGTTCAAACAAAATCAAAATGTAATGGAATAATCGTGAAAAAAAAACAAATTCTAGACTAAAATAAAAAATCCATCGAGTCAAATTAAATTGCAATTCACGCGGACGACAAAATGAACCACATACATAAATATAAAAAAAAAGGAAAAATATACAATATCTCCTACGCGTTATCTCCAATGAATTAATCGTAAATAAAGTTTCTTACTTTGCGCGTGTTGCAAATTAACGAAATAAAAATCAAATAAAAAAAAACAAGAAGGGAATAAACGTGAAATAATAAACGATGATATATCGAAGAAGAATTTGAATCGCAGGTTGGAAGAATCGAGGTTGAAAATGTTTTGGACGTACGATTGGTTCTCTCTCTCTCTCTCTCTCTCTCTCTCTCTCTCTCTCTCTCTTTCTCTGATACTTTCTTTCTATCTATCTTTCTCGTGTGGCACCCTCTTGGGGCTCATACGTTAGAGGGTGACTTAAGCATTGTTTCAACTTCGAATCTCCCGACATAGGGCCGGATTGATGTCGCGAACTTTTCCTTTGCCTTATTTGCGAGTCAGATAACGAGGCTGAGTTATGCGCAAAGTTCGGACCGTGTTCCGCAAAATTGCCGGGCGCACACTATCGCCCAAGAGAGAGAAAGAAAACAAAAAAAAAAAAAAACAAAAAGAAAGAAAGAAAGAGAGAAAATGTTTTATTTCTCTCCAACACCATACGCTCGCTTCGGGGATTTGTTGTCTGCGTACTCTCCGAAGAAATTTTCTCCGATCGCGATAACAGATATATCCTAAAAGGAAGAAGAAGAAGAAGAAAAAAGGAAAAAAAAATGGAAAGAAAAGGGACCGTACCGCGTTCTGTTGCTACTCTGATCGCCAACGATCGAGAAAGAAAATTTGACTCTTGGAATAGAAACGAAAAAACGAAACAAAATTATTCGCGTATCTCTGTTTATTCATGGAAAGATTCTCTTCTTTGATTCTGATAGATCTTTCTTTTGTTTTTTTTTGTTTTATTGGGAAGGTGGAAGAAGGTTTTTTTTACGTGTATGTAATATTAATATACATTTATCTCTCTCGATAGAGTACTTCCTTTTTTTTTTCGTTTTTTTATTTCTTTTTAGATTATTCTCATAAGAAAAATTGTCTCATTCGTTTTATCGTATGCAGAATTGTTCCATAAATAATTTGTGTCTATTGCATACTAATATGTTCTTTCATTCTAATTTATCGGGTCTTGATTTATCTGTATGTGCGTGTGTGTTATAAATAGTATTATTCATTTACAATTGGATGGATTTGAAAATGGTTTTAATTCGAAACCGATGGAATTTGCGGCCAATAAAATTTGCAATTAGTGGCATTTGCGACAAGATCAAATTTCCGACCAGTTTAACTTGCGATCAGTAAAAGTTGCAACTAATAAAATATGCGACCAGTATAGTTTAACCTTAGCAAGATTTGCAACCGATAATCAAATTTTCGACTAACAAAATTGGCCACTTGTTCAAATTACAATTAATAAAATTAAAAAGCAATTTAATTATGCAACCAATAAAATATGCAAATTAGGTACATTTGCTGTAGGATAAATTGGGCACCAACTACTAGTATATACAAAAGAACAAAAAATAGAAAAAATTATATACGATAAAATACCTAAGTAATGTTCTTTTGAAAATAAGTTAAAAATATGATACACCTTTAAGAATGTGAAACTATTCCTTTAAGTATCATTCCTATGCATGAAACAACCGTATAATCTATAAATAATACACTAGACTATATAAAATAAAAAAAAGAAAGAAAAAGATAAATACATCCTTTTCTAAACGTGTAATGATTCTATAGCTATGTATATCGACTACAGATACCTTTTTCTTTATCTTCTATGTGATTTCAAGTCGGATCTTTCTGCTTTCGAACTTCCTGTGAATTATTTAAAGGCGCTACGTGATTGGCCGACAAATCCTGCTTGCCTCAATAATTTACCAATCATACAGAGTCCTTTGTGTTTTATACGCCACGTTTCGAATAAATCCCATTGTGTATTCAGGAGAGCAAAATCCAACTCTATTCGGGTGTGAACGCGAACCCCCACCCACCTCTTCTTCCTCCTAAACCTCCTACACCTCCTCCTCCTCCTCTCTTTCTGCATCCGTTTCCCAAAAAACGAAGAAACGGAAATAGGCGTGTTACAGAGAGAGAAACAGATGATAGAGGGAAGAAGAAAATGCATAGGAATAAGGGAACCATTTGAAAGTTGAATCAACCGAATCGAAATTTGCTGAACATCGCGAATTTATACGAGTTTGACAATGTCTACTTTCTTCAATCAATAAGTTACACTAATCTTGCCGTTCTAACTATTCAGTATTGCATCTGTTGCAATAGTTCAATTTGAAGCCATGTAAATGAATAATTCATGTACATAAAAACAACCATGTATATGAGTAATAACTTCTTTTTCTAGTCATTATTTTAACAAACACGCGTGGCTTAACATTACTCGTTATTTTACAATAAGAATACGAAATAACATTTGAACGGAAAGTTCGGCACGGAACGTAATAAATTAACAGTACAAATTATTATTCTTACATTGTTAATCTTTTTATTAATTCTTAAACCTTTGCGCGCGCAATAATCATTATTAAATAAATAAATACCAACAAAAAAAGAGAATAATAAAACGTTGAAATTCGTTGTGTTACGAAGAAGGTTAATACGCGTGTAGAAGAAAATAAGAAAAAAAAAAGAGGAAAAGAAAGAAGAAAAAAAAAACCCCTATTAATGCAAATGAGAAATAATTCGCGTGTAGATAATCGCGAGGCAGTTACTTAACAAAGTAAGAAAACTTAAGAAATAATAGGACCGATATCAAAATCGATTATCGTCCACGGTGTATAATTCTTCCTCCCGTGAACTCTTACGTTAGTATGAAAAGAGAGTAGGATAAGCGATCGAATGAGCTTTAGCCTCCGTGGAAATGGGAGGAGGAGAAGGAGAGGAGGAGAAAGGAGGCATTCAATGCAAATTGGCAATTTTTCTCAGTGGCGTTCAAGGTAATCATTGGCAATTAGAACCCAGGGCCCACCAATAAATGTTATTTATGAGCACGATTACCAACGGCACACCTAACTCTTTCTCATTCTATCTTCTATCTATTATCCTTCTCTTTTTAGTGGCCCATGAACACGTTAAAACCCAAGTATGTTATATATACGTAAAACGTAGTAACGGTAGCTGCTTGCTTGCGCGACCACCCTAATTGGCCGACAATTACTCCTGTTTGTATGTACAAAACGCCCATGTATGTTCAAACTATGAGAGAAAGAGAAAGAGAGATTGACTTTGTCGTAACGTTAGACAGGACTAAAACGAGGAAAGGTAAGGATAAAAGGAATGAGAGTGCCCAAACCATTTTCGTGAATTATTTTCACCCTTTCGTGCCAACCTCGAACAGTCGTACCGTCTACGACTTATAACCCCCGTTTTCTTTTCAACCCCTCTCACATTGTGATATTTTATTATCATTCGTAAAAGAATTTTTAATCCCTTGGTATTTTTTTTAACACTTTTTCACCTTTTTTTTTATCTCTTTTTTTTTACTTACCCCCATGAAAATTATTTACGAAATGGTAGAAAATAGTAACAATGTATAATATTAATCGATTCGATTCGAAATAATTTTAAGAAACTTTTTGTCGCGCCAATGAATGTAATTATATTGTGGGATTGCTTGTTTTTCTTTTTCATTAATATCCATACAATTTATTATTCTCGTGATCATATTGGAAGCTTATTTGAAATATTTTTTTTAAACGCGCACAAATATGTGTATTAAAAACTTAAAAACAAAAAGAATAAGCCCATTGTCAACGCCTCGATCGAAAAACGGATGGATTTTTTCGCGCAAAATTTTTCTGCCTGCATTTTATTTTTTTATACAAATAAATATTATTTCCACAATAATATCCAGATTATATATATATATTCGAATCTTAATTCAAACAAATAAAATGAAATAAAATAATTCGTAATAAAAATATTAAGCCGAATTTGCGTGCGAACGACCGTGTACGTACTTTTTTTTAAATATTACTACAATAATAACCAGATTATAACACCCTTTTCATTATAAACATTTTTTTACGAAGGGAAAAATTAAAAAAAAAAAACAAGAATAATAATAATAATTCGCGTTAAAAAATGAATCGATGTTATCAAAATGTTTTGTTTGAACAAGAAAAACGTGGAATCATTTTCAACATTTCAACGAGTTTACCAATAGTTCTTTTATATCAAAAATATTTCGATAATAATATCTAGATTATATTTGAATCTTATTTTCTGAAACATTATATCTTGTGTTGATTATTATTATTAAAAAATAAAAGTAATAATAATTCGTGTAAAAAAACCGAGCCAACGACTTTACGGGGTAAAGGAGTTGAGGGTAATGGGGCTTGGTGGTTGGAGAACGCGTTTTTTTAAACTCATACGCGGGTGTACGGATATTTATTTTTTTTTATTTTATTTCGTAAGTAGCTTATTTTCTCCTCTTCTTTCTCGTTCAACAACAAACGAAAAAAAACCTGCCTAAAGGAAAAAACAAATGTTAAATTGTCAAAGGGACACAAAGTGAAAATCGTAATTTAACGGGCGGACGATCGATGCGTAAAATTATCGGGGAAACCTTTAGGATTATCTCGCGAAAAGGTGGCGTACCTATTCGAGAAAATAATTAATTAAAACCATGCCAACAACCGACAATTCCATCACCCTCTCTCTCTCTCCTTTCATCACCTCCCGCTCCCCCCCCCCACCCAACCCTCTCCGTTAGCAGTTT